TCAGGCAGTTTCGGTCGACTGGTTGTAGTGTGGTTGACATGCATAGCTTTCAGTATTTTTATCATAACTTCTTCTCCCTATATCCGATTGAGGTAATTCAAAGTGCGTTGGAAAACTAACTCAAAGAGCTACAAATTTTATTTAGATATCATTTTCCAAATCGAATGTTTCCTATGTCGAAAATGGGTCTCAAATGAGACTAAAAATCTGAAGTATATTTTTGTCATCCAATATTCATGTCTTAGTGCCACTAAGGTGTCTAGAATTATTTGGGGTTCTACACAACATTTTGCTTATTTTTTCCCCTTTCGCTTTCCCCTCACATCAGAAATGTTTAATTCAGCCTCTTCTTCCTGGTCGTGTTACGCTTCGGAAACGTCAACATCATCCAAATTAATTGGATAATTTGGATTGCCGCTTACATTATGATGAAGACCCAAATCTGGAATATCTTCAAGTAGGGGTACGTCATTTAGACCTTCAAATTGATTCTAAAATTGACTTTGCAGTGTCATAGGTGATTCGTTTCCTCCCACACCGAACATGTTTTCGACAAATGCTCGTGGATCCATTTGTTTAATTGTAATAAGTAATAACTAGTATAAAAAATTAATTGTATAAATGTAGTGAGAAATGAAAATTGGATGAAATTTCAATAAATATAGCGAGAACTGAGAAATGAGAATTGGATATTGTATAAATTATATATAAAAATTGCACAACTATCAACACAATACAAGAGAGTTGAGAGAAAGATAATTGAGAGTTGAGAGTGAATTGTAGAAAATTTTGAGGCTAAATGCCACTATTTATAGAAGAAGAAAAGAAACAAAAATTTAAGGACCAAAACGGTCACTGAAAAAATTCAGTGACCGTTAACGATGAAAAAAAAATTAATTCAAGGACTGAAACGGTCACTTTAAAAAATGAGCCCACGAGCTTAGGCTTGTGGCTCATTTATAATGAGCTGCTCGTGGGCTCGCTGCGAGTAGCTTGTTTTTTGTGCGAGCCGAGCGGTCTCGGCTCGCCCACCGAACCGGCCCGCTCGGCTTGCGCTCGGACTCGTGTTTTTACGAGCCCAAGCTGCCCATGAACTCTGTTTTTGCAAATCGAGCTGGCTAGTCGACGAGCCGCTCGGGCCACCCCTACAAATAACAATTCCCATTTTTGGGGAAAAAATGAATTTTGGATAGTGTATTGATGAGAAATGTGGTTAAAAAATAAAGAAAAAATTTAGATTTATATGTAATATTATTTTATTGAAGAATGTGTGGTTGAAATGATGTCAAAACACTGTAGAAAAATACATTTTTTCCCAAATAATGGGGATCGAAAAAGGGCTTAATATATTCTTCTCTTAAAGATATTTTAGAGCCCGTTTGAGCCACATTATAATGAGAATGAGAAAGAGAAATAGAGCCGTTATGGGCCCCACACTAAAGATAGAAATTCAAAAATGATGGCTTGATGTGATGGATAACGGTCATATTTTTCATTTTAATAAGGTAAAAATAGGGCTCAAACAAGGGCTTAATCTTGAATTGTGCTACAGGTACAGTATATTTGACAACATTGTTGACAACCCTCTCACGTGTAAACACTAGAGCCCACAATTAAAATAATTACAAACTTGTGAGATGGATGTCAAACTAAGTGTTCACTTAACATTTTCTATAATATTTTAGATCAAATTATCTAACGATGGACGAAAGAGGCAAGGGATAGGGACATGTTTTGAAGTGTGTAAATGTCGTGTCTTTCAGTTGTCATTCGATTAGTTTAAGGAAATGTAATTATGATATTTAAAACTGGGCATATCGTTGGGAACATGCAAACTAACAGATATTGGGAAATGCATTCAATGGCACGCCAAAATCAACACCATTTAGAATCATTTGACGACATGGCCACAGTAAAGATATGATTCAAGTTTATATAAAAGAGACAAGAAATATGGGGTATATTTGTACAAAATCTTGTTGACAAAATGATGTATTCACTCTTATAAAATTAGCGAATCCTACGTAAATTTAAAAAATATCGAATTGTGATCCCCATCTCCATTTTGAATAGTGAGTAAAGGAGTTTGTAAAAAAAAAAAAAGATTTTACATGTAGCATGATCCGCCACCGAAAATGACATTCTTAAGACCATCGGGGAAATCACAAGATAAGGGCAATTTCATATTTTCAACGAAGATCAATTTTGAGTTTATTTTGTTGAAACTTTGTAAAAAGCTAACAATATATGGTATTTTAGCTCCATCAAACAAAGAAGGGGAAAATCTAAAATTCTTGCTAATTGATAAAACGAATTAAAAATTGGTATTTTACGGGGATATAAAGTAAAATGAAAATTACTGGGTATTTATATCTACACGTTTATAACTTATTTTGAGTATTGGATAAGTGGTGGTCATATATGAATTTTCAGAGAGAGAGAGAGAGAGAGTTCTTGTAGAATAATTCTTAGACGGCAACAAGTATTAGCTTGAGGAGCTCTGATTGGTCGACATCTCTTCTACATGGAAATGTACATTAAAGACACTTACATCTTCCATTATATGTGGCAATACAGAGTGAAGAGTGATGTGTTATTGAATGCAAAATTAGATGAGAGTCGAAGCACAATGCCTTAAGAGAATGTTTTATAAATCATGAAATCAAGTATACTCATCCTTGTCCCCCGGGCATAGTCCAATGGTGTAAATGACAGGAGTGGAGTTATCTCACGCGTTGTTGACAGCCGCAGTGTGAGAGTTCGATTCCTGAGACATGGAATTGGACTCCTTGTGGGCGCAGTGTACAGACAGTTATTGTTCTTTGACCTGTTAGGGCACATCCCGCGATTTACCTCCTTCACAAAACTCTAGGGACAGGGCGGTGGGAGCCCTCAAGGTTGGTTTTTCGAAAATAATAGCAAGAAAGTGTAATATGTGTTTTGTGGTAAAGAATGAGTCTTCGTACTTTCCATCTCCTGTAAGCCTCCAATTAATGCTTGCTTTTTATGATTAGGCTAAGCAATTTTCCTCGTTTGTTTTTCGTTAAATATTTTCCTTCCACTTGTACAATAAAGGGAAAAGGATTGATCTTGAACAAAATGCAAAAGTATGAGTAATTCTATTTGTACATTATTGTATATAGATTGATGATGTGAGAGAGAAAAAGTAAAAAAGTAGAAAGAGAATGAAAGAAAAGGAATTTAATTAAGAGTTATACAACATTACCACATTAATTTTACCAGAATTTGCCATCACAATTTATCAACTCATTCTGACAAAATGATATGGTAAAATGGCATAACTCTTCAGTTAATATATAACCATATAATTAATCTATACATCGATCTATATATGATAATGTACAAATAACATTTCAATACATTCTTAGATATAACATATGTGGTTGATTTTATATATAATAAACCAAATAATTAGGTTTGGTTAAAATTCACATTGCTTGATATGAAATAATAATCAACATTTATAAGGTTTTTTTGCTACAAATATATAGGGTTTGTGCTACAATAGTAACATCGATATTCTTAGATGAAATCCTAATATTATTCGTAGCTCAAATAAACAATTTGATCATTTAAATCTCAAACATGAAGTTGAAAAATTAATATTCTCAAACAAATTACCAATATCTTATACGAGCATTTTACAGATAAACTCACATATTTAAATAACCTTCTAGAATAAAAACCCCAAAACTCAATACAACCATTACACAATGGTGAGTGATTGCAAATAGTGAAATCACATGTCAATGATATGGATAGGCCATCATATACACGACAATTTTGAAAGTAAATTCGGGTTGTTCTGAGGAAGGGGAAAACAACATTAATTTGCTGCCTGCAGCTCTCTTGGGAACATCTTGAAAGCTGCTCATTTTCATGCTACCAATATGGAACATTCTCACAATTCTTAACAGTGTAAAATTTCCAGTTATCTAGCCAATATTCTTCAAATTGGTAATAGAAAAGTAACAATAAAATAGGTAACCGTAGATCTAGTAGGCCAACAACTTTAAGAATATACTAAAGTAAAATCTAAAGGTAACCAAGCCGAAGTTCCAAATCCAAGTCTTCCTTCGGTTCACGAATTGGGACACACTCCAATGTCTTGAGAATTTCACAGTTTTTTTCTTGCTCAAATGAAGTTAGATTTTTGACCCCGGAAAGTGTTTTCGTGGTTTCCACCTTCAACAAATTTGTTGTTAACGGTCTCGAATGATTTACTGGAACAGCATCGTTACCCCATCTCTTTTCGGCGAAAGTAGCAGAAAAACAAGAAGGCGTAGAGGAAGGAAATATTTGAGGTAATGTGGAATTAAAAGGTGGGAATTTTGCCAATGTAGATGAGGATGAAATGCTAGGGTTAGGGTTCATATTTTCAGAAGGATGAGGGTTCAGAATTTTATAAGGACTAGGGTTAGGGTTCAAAATTTGGTTAGGGTTTGGTTCAAGATTAAGGTTTAGAAGTGAATACTGACTATTATCGCTTGGTGGAGACTCTCTCAATCTGGCTCTCTCTCTCCTATGAACATTCATATGACCACCAAGAGCTTGAGCAGATTTGAACTCTCTCTTGCAAAAGTTGCAAGTATAAAATCTTGGTGGCCATGAAAATTCACCAAGTAAATCTCCTCCTCCATTGCACTTAGTACTGTAAAAATCCCATGAATCCTTTAACGTCTTGACATTCATTTCTTTCATGCTTCTGCTACAAATACTATGCCTTCAAGTTGCTGGAAAATCTTCTTCTCCATGGCTTCTGATGATAAAGTCAGTCCAAGCAAGATTAAGATGAGAGAGAGAGAGAGAGAGAGAGAGTTATTAGGGAGATGGGATGATGACAAATAGCTTGGACTTGGGACACACACAAGACACGATGTTGACGTGTTTCATAAGGCGATGTATACTAAATAGCAGTATTAACTAAGAAAAATAAAATTCTATTGATTGTATATTAAACATATGTTCTATGTTCTAGTGTGTGCACCAAGAGAGAAGTCAAAATGTTAGTCATTGACTCTCAATATGACAAAGTGGTTGGACTAAGGGCGCACATGAAGCAGTGTTAACGACATGTTCGATAAGGTAAATAAAAATACATTGTATGAGAAAATAAGGATAACATAACCAATCAAACGCATTGGGAATTGAAAAGAAAATATTGACTCTAAACACTGCAGGCACCCGTCATGCACCTTGTAAGATATTGTATCGGCTCATAGCGTTTACTTGTTCTTAATATTAACTAGTAAAAAATCCTACAATCTTATTTTATTTACTATTTATGTTCACGCCCCTGTTTGTTTCCTATTATTTGATCATTAAAATGAAAAATACTATCATTATCCATCACATCAAGCCACCATATTTGAATTTCTATCTTTTGTGTTTTTCCCACAATAATTATATTTTTTATTCTCATTCTTACATTAATGAGAAACAAACGAGTTCTAAATATCAAATATAAATTGGAGCAATGTCGTATGAAAATGTATAGATGGACTTACAAAATGTTACATGGCAGTATTTTATTGAATTTTGAACCAAAAAAATAAAATAATAATAATAGTTAAAACTGTCAATCATCTGTAAAACTATTGGGGCATTCATGAATAAATTGTCTCTACCGGTATGTGTTGGGAGTGGGAGTGGGAGTGGGAGTGGGAGTGGGAGTGGGGGTGGGTTGCAGATTAATCAGAAGTAGAGGCCATCAAATTCCAAGCCAGAACTGAGAATTTCTATTGGATGGAATTAAGGAGTGCATGTTCCCAATGTTTGGTTATTACTTGCTAAATGTAGAGCCTGGCCCAGCCAATTTTCCAGTTACAGACCTAGTGGATGTTCCCGACTCTTCATATCTGTTTGTCAATCTTTATATAACATCATATTCAGTAAAATAATTTAATAACTGCATTTGGTGAACAATTTCCCATGTTCTTTTTATCATAAAAAATTTAACCGAGATCTAGATTGGTCCACGGGAATAATAGTAATTGATGCCACCGAAAACGTAAACTTGTTATGGTGCGGTTTTCTTCTAGTTACGAATCCAAAATGTTGAAGTTATGGAGTCAACTCGTTTCTTGGACACAAATTGGCTTTCCCGTCAAGGTCGACAGATCTGTTTTGTTTGGAGCTTCGGGAGTAGTAGAAGTTCCGGCTTAGGCAAAATTTTAATGATATAGAAGTAAATTTATAGTTTGCACGTTGTTTATTCCTTTTTATATATTATAATAATCGCACAAGAATGTTTAGGATTAGACAGAGAGTATAACTAAGCATTGTGATTTTTATTTTTATTTTTTATTTTTTGAAAATATGTAAGGCGTAAGTTAGTATAACTCTCATGTTGAGATTGAATCACCCTACGACATGTGTTCTTTACTTATTTTGTTTTTCTATTTCATATTTGTTATCGACACTACAAAATTTAATAAAAAATCATCGTAATTCTGACTTGAACATCTTCCCAGGTCTACAATGACCCATAATTACCCTACAATTAGGTTTAGTTTGTTCTTGAAAACACTGCAAGGATTAATTCACCCAATGATGACAAATGAGTAGTAGGAATTATAATAAGTGGCAGCCAAACTCATTAAAAAAGCTGTGAATCAAAACACTTTGCTTTTTCTTTTTATCTTTTTTCTTTTTCTTTTATCTTTTTTTTTTTTTTTTTTTTTGCAGAAAATAAGTAAGTTTCGACAGAGCGTCGAAACAAACAAAAGATTGCACTACATTTGGAGAGATTTGGTGAGTGACTGGTGGCCAATGAAATGAATTGGTCTTATAAAGCTTGTTTTTTACAATTTAAAAGTCAATTAAAATCAATTTTTTTACTGTTATTTTACTTTTCATTCGTTATTTTTGAATTTTTTTCTCACAGGTATATGATCCACTTTATTTCTAACAATCAAAAAATCAATTATCAAAATCCCTACTAAACAAGCACTCTATATGCAGTTGCAGTTTTCTTAGGTTACATAGCCCAAACTGCAGGAATTTGTCAACAATGTATGTCTATCCAACTAAACATTTAGCCCACGATTATTCCAATTTTCTCAAATTCATTTTCAACTAAACATTTTATGGAACCCACAAGTTTTGTCAAATTTTCAACCATATTTCGCCAACTTTAATAAAAATTTACTAAAAATCTAATTTTGAAACTTACTTGAAAAAGGTACAATGATCAAAAGGGTCAATCGGGTCCATACCATTTTGTACGTGATGGAATATAATTAAAGTCTAGAATATGTCATGCTTCTTGATAAATTCTACTATTAGAAAATAATGTTATCTAGCACTGACATTTGATAGTCTATGACTCCATAGGATCAGCAAATATGATATTACTTGATATATTGAATTAAATGAAATAATAAACTTTATTATCTGTTAAACACATTGGTTCTAGATATCCTTAAATATCTAATCAATCAATTGATTGATTGTTTATCCATTTTTTTTTCTTTTTTGAACTGACTCATTGAGTAGGTTTCATCTCAATTTTATAAGAACAATATTCAATCAATTACTGAATCAATTTTTGGTTTCTCTAATCGAATCAACCCTTTAAAGCAATATCTTTTTAAAAAAAAAAAAAAAAAAAAAACCACGGGTAGTAAAAAGTAAAAACTTCTATTTGCGTATAAGACCAAAAAAAAAATCAAAATCAAAATCCATAATTACTTTACTGAAACTTCAAGAAGGCAAAGGAGCATAGTGATTTTGTGCTCCCCTTTTAATTAACAGAAGCCCCTTTGGCCTATGGTTGTTGATTCCTGTCTAGTCTGAATAGCCCTTAGGTTTTGAACAATTTGAGGAAACGGTAAATTACATGGGAACTATCAAAACTTTGTCACTTTTATATATGCATGGAATAATTTAAGTGAGGTTGTTGAAAAACATTTCAGATAATTTAACAAGTAAATTTAAAAAAATTTCCTACTTTTTAATTATAAGTTCGATAAAAAATCACTTTTAAAAAAATCTATTCTAGACAAATAGACTCGAACATGAACGGTAAATATTAGGGAAAATTGCATATGGTCCCATCCTTCAGAAAAACATTATAGATTACCAAAGCCACTACAATATATAAAAGAGAAGAATTGATTACTATTCATAAGGCATCATCCTCACCTCATGCTAATGTCATGTATATGTGAATGAAAGTGTTTTAAATCTGCTACAATAAAAGAGGATATCATACCAAATTTACCCCTTATAATCTATTTTTTGTACTAATTTTCCTCATGTTTGTATTTTCCTACCAATTTTACCCCTTTTGTTGTTTCCGTATGTTTCTAGATGTTTATGCCTTCCATTTCTTTTATTTTTGTCGTCTCTCATTTGGTCCATTTTTTAGGTCACCCTAAGAAAGTGACGGAGAAATTCCCTTCGTTCTTCTCTCTAAGTAAGCTAATCTCATCACTTTTCTCTAACCGTGAGGAAATTGTTGTTATTGTGGTTCTGTGGAGCAAAGCTTTTGCGCCTCTACTCTCCTCTGCCTCCAATTTTTCATTTTATTTATTTGAGATCCCCTTTTAGAAAACAGTTAGAGCCCTAATTTTTCCATAGATCTAAGCACAAATCTTGGTGATGGTCTATTATCACCAAGAAGATTGATTTAATGTTCGAAAGTTGGTTTCTGTTCATTCAATCTGTTCAGTGTTTTTTTTTCCCCATGTAGATGTGCTTTGTTTGATCTATTTTAGTTTTTATTACTTATTTTTGCATTCTCTCTATTAAATTTTCTAGATGATCTCTGTAACACGTTTTAGACCGATGACTTTCAAATCAGACGATTTTAGGGCACCAGATTTTAAACACCCTTACAGGCTTACCGACCCTAGTCAAAAAGGCTTCGAAGATAATCAATTTTTGTTTCAAGTGTAGATTCATCTTTAATTGCCTTCTAAATGACCCCTATAGCAAGCTTTAGACCAATAACCTCCAAGTCAGACGATTTTATGGCACCAGATTTTAAGATATCCTTGCAGGCATAATTAATCGAGTCATAAAGACTTCAAAGAGAAATTTTTAGATTTCTAATATATATGTCTTTATTAGTGCAATGCCCCTTTCACATACTTATTCACGAAAACTGACCTTCAATTTAAGACTTTCACCTCCCTTTTTCACGTTAGTCTAAGACAATCCACATATAAATTTTCAAACAAGGAATCCAAATTTACATCCGAATCTTCCTACAACTGTAAAGTCATCCCAAACTGTGCTAATTTTGGTCTAAAGATAAATAATTTACTTTGGTTTAGGAAAAACATCTATGTCCAATTAAATCAACATATTTAACAAATGAATTAACTTGTTTCATCACAGTGTCAAACTCAATTATGGTGCACGTATAATATCGAATTTTGCAAGGTTAAGCTTCAATCAATCTAGCATGCATCATATCCACAATTCATTGATCAACACTAAAATCTCAAAGTAAAACGTAATTGTAAGCAAAAATGTCCCACTCAAAAAAAGTTTCAGGTAGGCAATTAATAATAATACATTCCCCCAAATTTAAACTAAACATTGTCCTCAGTGTTAAATTTAAAGGAAAATGAAGAAGACTTCCTTGAAATGTTAGTATTGTCTATAATGTTGTGGTGTCTTTGTGTTACATTTGATCGACTCCCACATTCTCCCCCAAACTTGAGATTTGTCCCACTTTCTTCATGTCTATGTTGGTTTGAGTATTCCGCGATGTCATGTTTCTAAAAAATTAAATTTGAAAAATCAAACTCATGGAACAAGGGTTACTTAGCTCAAATATCTAATA